AAGTTCGTTATCGATGTCAAGTCAGACGAGGATATCCACACGGCCAATGAGCGCCGCCTGGGCGAGATCATTGGCAAGGCTGCTGGCAAGCTGCACACTGGCCGCTCCCGAAACGAGCAGGTTGGTGTTGACATGCGTCTCTGGGCCGGCGAACAGCTCGACCAGCTTGCTGCTATCCTCAAGGATGTCCTCGCGACCACGGCCGCGCAGGCCAAGGAGTACCTCCCCGTCCTGATGCCAGGATACACTCATCTCCAGCGCGCCCAACCAGTGCGCTTCTCCCACTGGCTCCTGTCCCACGCCACCTTCCTCATTGGCGATCTCAACCGCCTGAAGGGTGTGCAGGAGAGGACATCTGCCTGCCCTCTGGGTGTCGGTGCCCTCGCCGGCAACCCCTTTGGCATTGACCGTGAGTTCATGGCCAAGGACCTCGGCTTCGCCTCGGTCCACCCAAACAGCTTGGCCTGTGTCGCCGACCGAGACTTCGTCGTGGACATTCTCCAGTGGGCGAGTTTGTTGATGGCCCATCTCTCCCGCCTCAGCGAGGATCTGATCCTCTTCTCCACGGCCGAGTTTGGCTTTGTTCAAGTCGCCGATGCCTACAGCACTGGCAGCAGTCTGATGCCCCAGAAGAAGAACCCCGACAGCTTGGAGCTCATCCGTGGTAAGGCTGGCAGAGTTATGGGACAGGTAGGCTTTTCCAACTGGTTTTCATCCCAAGAAGAATGCTGATGCGACCACACTAGGCTTCCGGTTTCCTTGCCTCCCTCAAGTCTCTTCCCACCTCTTACAACAAGGATCTCCAGGAATCTGTCGAGCCCATGATTGACTGCATCAAGACCGTTTCCACATGCCTGCGGATCATGCAGGGCGTGCTTGCCACCCTCAAGGTCTACCCTGAAAAGATGAAGGCTGCCCTCACCGACGACATGCTCGCCACCGATGTGGCTGACTACCTCGTCCGCAAGGGTGTGCCTTTCAGACAGACTCACCACATCGCCGGTGCCATCGTCCGCAGGGGTGAGGAGGCTGGCGTGGCCATCTCCAAGCTTCCCCTCGACGACTTCAAGCAGATCTCGCCCTTGTTCGAGGCTGACGTTGCTGATGTATTCGACTTTGAGAAGAGTGTTGAGAGAAGGAACACGTACGGTGGCACGAGCAGCTCCTCGGTGCTGGCGCAGATTGAGGCCATTCAGAAGCTTGTGCAACAGCAGTGATCTTGTACGGTGATACCCGAAAACTACGCGACGGATAAATCGAGCTACTGGATAGCCTCGATCACTGGTTGTGTGACCGGGGGGGGGGGGGGGAACGGCAACACTGTGCAACTTAGTCCACACCCTACCAACGCTGGAAAAGGGGGAAAATAAATCAGGGCAGCGCCACGCGCAGTCCGATTGTGATACCAATGAAGAATAGCGCCCCTGGCGATTCAGGTACATAGTGTACTACTTTGCCCAATATTTTGCTGATACCTAATCTGAAACCTATAGGGGGCAATGTTGGGCACGTGGACCTGTGGCGGGCTTCTCGAACATCTTTTGGTGACATCATTGAAGTTGGAGACCCCCAGATCCCTGACGTTTGTTTTGTATGCCGTGCTGTGAGCCGTAGGTACCCGCCACGTGCCCGCCTTCTTCAGAATGGTTCGGTTTTTTTGCCTCTGTTCAACCTGGCAACCAAAAAGTACCACAGAGCGGGCCTCCGCGACGATATGCGAACGACCAAATAACGACCGAATGACCGAGACGTCACCATGTCCGTAAACCGTACCGCTTCCGTCTCCTCGGCCGGCAATCACCGCTCGACATCGTCCTCGTCGGCAAAGTCCAACAGAGAGCACCTTCTCCCCGAGGCCGATGTGCAAGCCCAGGTCGTGGCAGAGCATCTGCCGGCCGGCTTCACTGCCGAATTCGACGCTACCCTCCCCGCGCCCAAGTCCAAACTGGTCTTGGCCACCACCTCTCGCTCCAACAGCACCGCCAACACGACAAAAAACCACTCGGCCGCCGCCGAATCCTCCCTCAAACTCCAAGGCGGCGACATCCACCGTGAGCTTTTTCGCCTCGCCGCATCCGAAGGCGGTCCCGGTGGTACCTCTCAGATCAGATCCGGCTCGGTACACCGGCGCGCAAACACTTTTCACAACCCGCGAGAATACCGCCGCTCCCTCGCCGCCGAGGAAGGCCTCAGCGTGGGCGACCAGTTAGCGCCGGGTGGGTTCCGCCGGGCCTATCTCCTCCAGAAAAGAAGAAATGGCAAACCAAATGACTTCTATGCTGCCCGAATGCCGATCACGCGAAACTTTGTCGAGTTTTTGAATTTGTACGGGCACTTTGCGGGTGAGGACTTGGAGGACAGCGACGAAGAGGCGGTGGAGTCCGAGTCGGAAGATGAAGATGGGGAGAGGAGGCCGCTTTTGACAACGACGAGGGAGCGGCAAAGGCAACGGGAAAGAGAAGAGGAGGCAGAAGGGAGGGAGGGAGCCGGCATGACCAAGACTTTTTTTACTCTGCTCAAGGCGTTTGTCGGGACGGGGATCATGTTCTTGCCCAAGGCCTTTAGCAATGGTGGCTTGCTATTTAGCAGCTTGGCCATGGTGGGGGTGTCGGCGATTTCGATGTGGGCGTTTCACCTGCTACTGGGGCTGAAGGAGAGGTATAGGGGGGGCTATGGCGAGATTGGGTATGCCGTTGCCGGGGGCAGGATGAGGGGCCTGATTTTGGCGAGTATCGCGCTGAGCCAGTTGGGGTTTGTATGCGCGGGCATTGTGTTTGTGGCGGAGAATTTGTTGACATTCTTCGAGGCGGTGATGAAGGATAGTCGGAGCTTCACAACGGCTGGACTAATCGCGCTGCAGTTGGTGATTTTGGTACCTTTGAGTTGGATCAGGAATATTTCCAAGCTGGGACCTGCGGCATTGCTGGCGGACGCGTGTATCCTGGTTGGGGTTACCTACATTTATTGGCATGATATCACGAGTTTGGTGGATATGGGAGGGATGGACAAGGGCGTGGTCATGTTCAACCCGGATAGGTACACCATGATGGTTGGGTCGGCCATTTTCACATTTGAAGGGATCGGCCTGATTTTGCCCATTCAGTCGAGCATGGCCAGGCCGGAAAAGTTCGAGTGGTTGCTAGGCGTTGTGATGTTGATCATCACTATCGTTTTCACAAGCGTCGGTGCCCTGTGCTATGCCACCTTTGGTCTGGACACTCAGATCGAAATCATCAACAACTTTCCCCAAGATTCAAAGCTTGTCAACGCGATTCAGTTCCTGTACTCGGTTGCCATCCTGGTCGGCACGCCGGTTCAGCTGTTTCCCGCGCTCAGAATCCTCGAAACCAAGATCTTTGGACGCAAGTCAGGCAAGAAGAGTTTGAAGACAAAGTGGATCAAGAACGGGTTCCGCTTCGCCATGGTTTGCCTTTGTGGAGTCATCTCGGTGCTGGGAACAGGAAATCTTGACAAGTTTGTCGCCCTTATCGGGAGTGCGGCTTGCGTTCCGCTCGTCTACGTCTACCCAGCCTGGCTTCACTACAAGGGGGCGGCCGAAACCAAGGCTGCCAAACTTGGAGATCTTGCCATGGTGGTACTGGGCTTGGTGGGGATGGTGTACACGACGGCTGTGACGATTATTAACAGCTTCATGTAAAAGAAACTCAACTGGGCTGGGATGGTCAATGACTAAATGACAGGATATGGATGGAAGAAAAAAATAACACAGTGCCGATATAGCAATGCTCATCAGCCATCTCATTATAGTCTTGCTGCGAGTGATGAAGATATCGCTCAGACATGTTTTGATGCAATTGCGGTTCCCTGGCAAGGCAAGCACAACTACATCAGGCAACCGCAATAACCTCACTAACATGGTGGGTACAGGCCTTGTCATGATTCAACCACCTACTTGTGTTCTAACAGCCTATTCAGCTCACACAGCAAGGACCAGGGCTAGACCGTCAGAGGAAGCTGTCAGCACTACTCAAAGAGGAGGCTATTGCTTACGTTGATGTTATTCTACGGAGCGATTTCCGACAATAGGTACCAGGTTGATATACTCTCTCAATCTGGCAGCATTCTCACTTCTAGAGGTGATTTGGAATGATACTTACGCGGCTCCCAGCATACCTAAGTTGCGTAATACACCGAGCTCACCATTTTGAATCCTGGAACAAGCGAGAAGAAATCGATGTGCCTCAGCCCCAATTCGGCATACTTGCCTCATATTTGGGTGGACCTTGTCGGTTCGGTCTTGGTAGCACGGCTTTGCAGCCGACGGAATTGTCAAGATGCCAGACAGGCAAGTCAATGGGCTGAGTGGTACATGTATGTAAGCGGTCAACCTTCCCTCTAGACTGGCTCTCACCTCCATGTCCAAGCACTAGAGAGCCTTCTTTACGTCCCGAGTCATTTTACTGCAATCTTTACCCTCAACACAGGAGCCACAAGAACCGACCAGCACCATCGCCCACGACTGCCATATTATCGCCGTGTCCGACCGTGGCTTCCAAAACGACCCGTGCTCCGCGGGACCGCGCTATGAAAATGGGTGCTCGGTTACCGGCTGCGGTGGCAGCGGAAAACCAAGCGGCGACTTGAACAGCTGTTACAGGAACATTGGACAGAGCATGTGGATGACGGTCGCGTGGTTTTCCAAGGGTGTAAACCGGTGTTGCAAGTGATTGACTTGGGCTTAGGGGGTTGTTGTCCCGGGATGTTGTCTGAGATGACTGGGTCGAGGGAGTTGGATGGCGTTGGACGTTTGACTTTTTCTCGGCGGGAAAGCGAAGAGAAGGGGGGGCGATAAAAGAGAACAGCATGGAGGGTAGAGTGGGTAGTTATGTAAGAGGTACAACTTTGGGACAAGACACTGGCTAGCAATTTACAACTTGTACCTCATGAATCCATCTGTGCCATCTAGATATTCACCATGTTCTTCCAGCATATCCCTGATAGAAGATTCCTAGTAACCGAATAACACCTACCAAAACCTTTTACCACGCCGCTCCCTTGGACTTCTTCACTACAAATGCACCACGGTCCATGGTGTTGATGACAATGAACCCGCTAGGCAAGAACGGGTAGTGACTCCAGGTGCCAGTGAATGTGACATTTCCACCACCGGGAAGGTGATCGTCCTCGGGGTATGTGTCAAAGTATGCCACCTCTTTGATTCCTTTGCCGGTGGGATCTCTTGGCACAGATCTTAAATCCAGCACGCTGATGCCAAGGGCGTAATTGCTCTGGTACGAGAAGCCATCTTTGACAAACTGGTTATGGTCGATTCCCTTTCTCAGATGCTTGTAGTGTCCCGTCTGCTTCGGTTTCTCGAGCGAGCTGATGTCCCAGATGTACGAGACGGGGTAGCCTTCACGTGCAGGACCGCGTGCGTCGACTTCGTCGTATTCATCGTCAGCAATGATATGTTGTTGCCACTGGGTGTCCAAAACCCATCCCTGGTGGGTATAGCTGGCGCCTTCGTAGGAGGTGGTGGATATGATGGTGATGTTCTTCTTGTCGGTTACGTCGTAGCTAGTGATCTGTCAGGATCCTCCCAACCGTGCGAGACTTGGCAAAACACTCACATCGTCAACGCATCCTCATTATACCCATAGCAGATATCTTTGCCAACATGCTTCTCATCCGGACCACGATACACCAAGCACTGGGCATCGTGCACATAGCCGTCCGCACCAGACCCACCAAGTGTGGTTGGGTTTGCAGGGTCCGTCAGGTCGAAGAACAACAACCCTGCCTTGTATGTCGAGTTCCTGGGCTGGAATCCCACAGCCACACCGTAGTTCAGCTCCTCGTTGGTCAAGACATTATGCGATCGCCCAATAGGCAAGGCATCTCCCCACCATCCTGCCAGGTCCTTCTGGTTGGAGAAGACCACGGGACTCGCCGGGTCAACGGTCAGCAACTTGGCCAAGTCGAATATCTGGACTCCGTGTTTCTCCGCCTCGCTACCAATAACAATGTAGCTCTTGTACCCCTTGATCTCTCTCCACAAAGACGGTTCAGCAGTGGTGTATTGTGGGAGACGACCAAGGTACACCAGCTTGCCTTGCTTGGTCACCTCGGCAAACGAGGTCCCGTCCAGCTGGGCAATGGCGACGAATTCTCTTCCGTCAGGAGAGGTCCAACCCCATGATCCGGCCCCCCTACCTTGAGTGCTGCCTAGCTCGGCATGGGTCTTGAAGTCGTACAAGTCGAGCTCCTTGCACCTGAACCTGTAGCGTGAGTCGTTGGGGATGTAGGTCGCAAAGCCGTTGGTGCAGGCGTAGAAGTCGCTGGCCTTTTTGACGGAAAACTTTTTGTACTGGCGGGAGTCGTAGGCACCTTGGGCTTCGAACTCACTCCAGACACGCTTAGACTTGTGTTAGGGGGTGTTAGTATTTATTGATAAGGACAGAAACTGACATTTTTGAGAGCCATGATTTGCTCGTGGCGGATACCACTGTCATAGAGCTCGGCCTTGAGCTCCAGATTCACCGGAAGCTCCTTCGCTGCCGCGATGGCAGCAAAGATTGCCATGACAGCAAGTGTCTTCTTTGGTGTCAGCATCGCGCGTGGTGTGCGTCCCGTCCGTGTGTGCGACAAATGTGGCGATGATAAGGACGTATAAGGTATACACTGGACGCCAGGAAAAATTTATAGCAGTCACAAGACTTTGTGGTACCGCAACCAGCTTGACGTGATAGCTCAGAGATTGATGTAGCCCAGCTGGACCGATGTAGCCAAGGAGAAGCTCATGTGGGCAACCATGTGGTCTCCTCTTGGCATTCTTATACCTGGGAACATTGCAGGAACTCGAGTACCTACCAAGGCAAGCATAGGTAGTTCACCTGTTTCCGTCTACACGATATCACAGGGTCAATTGGCGTCATGGGCCAGAAAGGGCAGGTAATCTATCTATCCGCCGCCAAGCCCGGCAGTTGCCCACAAATCAACAGTTCTACATAGAGTGAGTAGCACATGGCCGCATACCCGGCATTAATCCCGCGTGTTATATGTGCGACGACTGCTGTAACGGCCTGGGCCTAATGCCGTGGCACTATCTGGGATAGATTGTCTTACAGATGAGCCAAGTGCACCTTCTGGTCCAGGACTCGGATGAAGTGATCCGGGCATCAGATGATGGATGCTCCCCAAGCGATGGGCCACCTGCCTGCTCTATCTCTCATGCAGTGTAATTTTCGTGATTCTACAACATTTTGACGACAAACATGAAAAAGGCGGGCGCCAGGCTGGCAAGGGGAGCTACCAATGATGTGGCCCTGTTTGGATGTCAAGAAGAGTATCTAGGCACCTTCTGGTGTTGGATAGGGATATATGGAACCACAAAATGCTATTTCACTTTATTTCGGCTTTGTGAGGTGGGTGTAGAGATTCAGGGGGTTAGGGGTCCAGGGGTCAAAAGTAAGGTACCTACCTAAGTATCCTCAACCAAAGCCACAGGTTCGTTTAACCCCCATTCAATGCTGGGACGACAAAAGTCTATTTCACGTTCATCTCTTGAAGCAATCGAGATCTACATTAGAGTGGATGGAAAAGTTCAGCCAATGTTATGCATTGCATGTCTTGCAAGCTTAGCACGGCCTACGCTTTGGGTGCTCAGAAACCGGCTGCAGTCGTTTACGAGCCCATGTGCCTGTAGGCCAACGCAATTCGCATCACATATATCTGTGCGGAACGCCAGAGTGCCGCCTGACTGCAAGACGAGAGAGACCATACCGCAGTGCGAGAATAGCAACTGTCGAGATTTGCAAGCATGGTCACCCGTCATGTAACCTGCGATTCGACACGCTGTGCACAACGATCATTTCGCTCGTCTGCATTGCGTTTGGTCAAGAACTTTTGATGACGCTTGAAATGATATCAGATGATGCTGATGCTTGTGTAAAGGGATCTGGCTGATGAGAGCATGCATCCAATTGCATGCAAGGTTTGGGGGAGATATTGATTAGGTGGCAGTACTTAACATTGCTCATGCCTTCATTGCTTCTCCTCGAACTTTGTCACGCCCAGCAAACAGTTTCCAACTTGCACTTTTGCTGGCAAAAGCCCCTCCACCATCATTCACGGCTGGATTTTCTTATATCTCAATCTTCAACTGTTTTCTTGTCCACATCCAATTTCTATCGCAGCCGGCTGCATCATCACGCCGCACCGCTGGCACCCACACTGCTTTTTCCTAAGCTCCTCTCACTGCAAACGAACGAAAAGAACAACATCTCATAACAACAAAAATAACAAGAAATGAGACCCAATACATCCCTCCTTTTAGCATGGGCTCTCCCTCTGGCCCTGGCGGTCCCAGCACCACTTCCTGTTGAGGATCGTTCTGCCTTGGAACAACAAAACGCTTATCTGGAACATCTGGAACAACGCGCTCCTAATGAGGAGGGAGCTACTATAGAAGAGCGGGCTCTTCTCGAAGAACGGTGCGGTGGTGGCGGATGTGGTGGCTGCACAGGTAGCGGGTGCGGTGGTGTCCAAGTCGCCGCCGTTCCAGAAGTTATTCAGAGCAGTCCGTGCACCACGTGCGGGGAGGTTGTCGTTCCTGGACCACCAGGACCACCTGGACCTCCTGGACCGCCAGGAATCTCCAGTATTGGTCCTCCAGGACCTCCTGGAATGCCTGGCGGTCCCGGTCCAGTAGGTCCTCCTGGCCTTCCTGGCGGTCCCGGTCCCGTCGGTCCTCCCGGTCTCCCTGGCGGTCCCGGTCCCGTCGGTCCTCCTGGTCTACCTGGTGCTCCTGGTCCTGTTGGTCCTCCCGGCGGTCCTGGCATCCCTGGACCCCCTGGGCCAGTGGGTGCTCCCGGGGTGGGCGTCGTCGGACCCCCGGGACCCCCGGGACCTATTGGACCAACCGCTATCCCTTACCTCAGCTATGGACTTGGGTATCCTGGGGGATATGGATATGGTGGATTTGGCGTCCGGGGAATCGGGTACCCTGGATATGGCTATGGTGGTTATGGAGGATATGGGTTTGGAGTGCGTGGCATTGGGGGATATGGAGGATATGGCGGTTATGGAGCGTTTGGTGCCCGTGGTTTTGGAGGATACGGAGGGTATGGAGGATATGGAGGATATGGTGGGGGTTTTGGCGCCCGTGGATTTGGAGGTCGTCCGTGAACAACAACAGGATTGGACGTGACACTTCTGCGCTGTCACGTGTTTGAATGCTACTGATCTTGGTCAGTTGCTATATGCCCGCAGGATTCCTACCATCACATTCATTTTTTCTTTCTTTTGCCAGGTAGCTACCTATGTACCTAATGTTTATTCATAGTTGCGCAGCGCTGAATGAATCTTATTTGTTGAAGGAAAAAGATGTCATGGACTGAAACATTAAATTAGACATTACGCTACCCTGTTGACCGCTCAGTTGTGAAAACCTCTGATAATGAAATGGTTTACATGTACCCCTGTTTGGCGAGTGAAACCCCGAAGCCCACCGGACTCAGCGATTTTACCACACCATCTTTCCCAACCGTCATGACAAATTCCTCCAACCCCGCAAAGTCATAAGTAAACCTATCCATGGTACCCCAATTCACGCACCGGGCGTCAGGGTAAGCAGCTTCCTCATCAAAGGGCTCACCTTTCTCATCATCTACCTGATCAAACACCATTCTCCACGACTTTTGGCTACCCGCCTTGAGACTCGAAGGATACAACCTCGCGATCCCAGGCAGCGTTCTCCCACTGGCGGCAATATTGTAGAAAGTAAAGTTTCCCAATACATTGAAGCCCTTCACCGTCCACTCTTTGATCGCCAGACCTGGACCATCATCGACTTCCAACTCCACCACAGAATCACTCTCCTTGTCCTGGTAGATACCCGCAAGGTTTTTCTTAGCCTCTTGCTTTGTGACCGCGTCTAGTGCCGGGATAATTGCCTTCAGCGTCTGTGAGATGACATGTGACTGAACAAAGAATTCATCGGTGACCTCTTTGCCAGCAGTCATAACGTTGACGACAATATCGTAGTCTGGAACAAGAGCGAACATGGTGTGGTATAGTCCAAGATCACCAGCCTTGGTATAGATGTCTACAACTCTTCCATCTGGCACGAGTCGGTCGGCACGCTGGATTTCCCATGGCGCCCCCAGCACATGGCCGCGAGAGGATGTGAAGGTGGTTGGAGACAGCCACTTTCGCGTGGCGAGGGGGGACAAGAGTCTGTTGGAGAGGATCGCCACGCCAAACGACAGCATGTCGCGGGTGGAAGAGTACATGCCGCCAGATCTAGATGAATTTTATCAGTTTAGACAATGAAACGTCCCCTCGGGATGAAAAGCGGAAGAGGAGAAGAGAACGTACGACGCAAAAGTGCCGGTCTTGGTGAACCAGGTTGGGTCATCAGCTGGGATAAACCCCTCCTTGTCTGGAGCTGGTGGCTCGTTCAGAGACGTCTTTTCCATGCCTGCTGGAAGAAGAATCTTTTCTCTGAGAAGTTGATCCAGGCTCTGGCCTGTGGCTTTCTCGACAACGAGTCCAAGCAATGTGATCCCAACGTTGGAGTACAGCGGTGCGGTGTAAGGGGCGTACTGAGGATGCCGGCGCGGCATGTTCTTGAGGACGTCTAGGTAGCTGGTTATTAGCACTCGCAATACATCCCACCACCAAAAAGCCTCTCACCCTCTTCTTCACAGGCTGTCGTGTTCCCCAGCCCAGAGCAGTGCCGCGCTCTCGTTTTCTCTTGTAGTGGCGGAAGCCCCATCTTCTCAGCTGGAAAGGAAGGAAAGTTTGCCAGATCAAAAGCAAGGTCCCTTCCAATTCCCGAAACATGAGATGCTAATGCACCAATAGTAACATGTTGCCACTGTACTGCCTCAATCTCTGTTCCATGGACTTGATTCTCTTCAAGCTCAGGAAGGTATCTCGTAACGGGTTCGTCCCACCGGATCTTGGTCTGCTGGAGCAGAGAAAGGACAGTGAAGAGCTTGGTACAACTGCCAATACGATAGACAGTGTCAGCCGTAACCTCCTCTGTGCCATTCTTGTTCTTGATCGGCGGTGTGTAATGAAGGTCGACCAACGGAACATCTTCGTGAATTGATCGAACACCGATGGAGACAGCTGATGCGCTGTAACGGGATGTCATGCTCGCGAATACAGCTTCAAGACTCTTGACGGCTTCCGCGACGACTGAATCTTTGCTAGGTCGCCTTGGGGGGGGTAGAACCGCGCCCAAAGGAGGGCAGGGCTTACCGTCAGCCCCCGGGAGCCGAAAGGCGGCGACCACAATAAGGGACAGAATACTTGTAGTTTTGATCATGATGGTACTGAAAACTTCAAGGGAGAGTGTAATGTGAGATGATGTTGGAAAAGCGTGGTGCTCAGACTGATCCTTTTTTACGGTAAATGGAGGGAGTTGGAGAGAGTTTTATAGCTGCTATCGTCTGAAGAATACACCAGAAATCTGACCACTATCACTACAGATAGGCGAATATCCCACAGAGATACCAACACCAAACAGATCTTCCTTGTTCATCAAGCAGCCACACCATCGGATTGTGGATTGCCCGTTGGAGGATGAGGTGCTTGTTGTTTCGGCTTGTAGGATCACCTTAGCCTCGGATTTCGATTGAACCGCAAATCGATTTGTTACTCCATTCGGAGCACAAGCGGGGCTGCGTGTTGCCATGTTGCGTTGGAGCCTGAAATTAAACCAGTCCGAGGTTCATAATGCGAGTCCATTCTGATCAATATTGCGCAAATACCGGCTCATCTCAAGATGTGAAATCCTTGGTTTCATCCAACGCATATTCCATCCCTTATGAGTTGCCATCTTCCTCTACACATCCTAAACCCAACGACTAAAAGACTTTACAATGAGAGGGAGACCATTTATGCAAGCTGCGAATCAGGCAACACCACCTCAACCAAACCAACCTGGCTTCTACAATCCCAAATCTTGCGCAGTTTGAGACCAGCGCGCTCGATAATGTCCTTGAACTCAGCTGGCTTTCTCTCGATGCCATTGATGATTGACAACATGGCCAAATCGCGCTGGTGGGAGTACCGTGTGTAATACCCCCAGTTGGCCGGCAATGGTGCCGGCGCTGGTTCGATCTCGGCCGAGCCAAAAGTGGTATTCATTACTTGATCGCTGTTATCAGACATTAGCTGCTATACCTTTTAACTACTGATGTTTCAAGAAGAGGAAAATCTCACCAGATGAGAATTCGGCTGTGCGGTCCCATAGCCGGCTTGATAGCACTCAAGATCTGCACGCAATAATCATCAGACCAATCGTGCATGATGTACCGCAGCCAATACACATCTGCCCCCTTCACTGGGTTGGGCTCAAACATGTTGTGAGGCCAGAACTTGACCTTGCCCGATTGCAAAGCTTTGGGGTGCTCCTTTGGCCAGACCTCAGTTTCGGCTTGCTGGAGGACTGGAGCGCGGTCTTGGACAACAAAGTTGAGGTTCGGGTAAAGGCGAGAAAGCTCCATACTGAAAGAGCCTGTTTGACTTTCATGTTAGCTGCCTTGATTGCGAGAGATGGGCCTCGAAAGGGGCCAGGGGGTCGAGGGTGCACGTACCAACTCCACCGCCGACGTCGACAATAGTGGCGTCGCCCAATTCACCCCAAGGGAAATCTAACACAAAAGGTTAGTTTTGGCTGACTTGACTGTAAATTTGACATGATTATGCTCATCTTACCAAACAGGTGAGCCTTGCCATAGACTCTGCCACCACCCAGCATGGCCAGCCCGAAAATGGCATGCTCTGGTCTCGCCACCAAAGTATTGGCTGCTTCACCATTTGTCTTACCACTGGCGGCAACAGAGGTGAGGCCTTCTTGCAGAGTGTTGCCGAAAGAGCCGGGATAAGAGCTGGTGGCACCGTTGGTTCCGTTCTCACAGAGGGCTTTGAGATCACCAGCCTTGGCTTTCTCCTCAAGCCAATCCCAACGGGGCTTGTCGGTGTTAACAGCATCCTGCCACGGGGTGACCTCAACCGCGTACGAAGGGCCTTTTTCGGGGTCCGAAAGATAGCGAGGCAGGTGGTCGGAAGCAGTATACAAGTCCAAGCCACTTGTTGCGGTCGTGTTAGTCAGCGGTTGCAGATGAAAGGCAGCGCATCACTTACAAGAGCATAATGTAAGCCCTGAGGGGCTCGTTCCCAACCAGAGCTCGGGAGATGTCATTATTGGCAAAAACATCTTCCTCGATTTCGTTGAAAATGTGGATGGAGCAGAGACAGCGAAGGAGTCTGGACAACTTTCGCGCCTCGATGCCCACCTCTTGGCTCAACTCGGTGACGGAAACGCCTTTCTCGCGCTTGGCCAGGATATCGGGGATGCGCTTGTCGGCGACAACGTGCAGAGCCCGTGCCTCGAAGTACTGATTAGCAACCTCAATCAGACGTGTCTGAGGACTCGAAACAAGCTCCGTGAGTTTTCCTGCCGCCGCCAAGAGTGTCCGTTGAGCATCAAACAGGGGGCGCGAAGGGATACCAAGACCATCTTCGGTGGTGGAGGAAACGATGGTGGACTGGCGATGGGAGATATAAGAACTAATTGTCTTCTGGATCAGGGAAGACAATTGCAAGAGGGTTTGAGAGGTGGGGTCAATGTTTGCTTGCGTGATCGCCATGATGGAAGTTGTGAATGAGTCTGAATCGAAATTGTTCAAGATCAAAGGGAAGGGGTAGGGCTCAGAACCAGTCTTTATTTAAACTTGAACACAGATACCATCATGACGATTCCCGTGTCGGCACTCGGTCCCGACTTGTCGGATTTTACAAAGCCAAGCATTCCGGTCCATGGGGGTCGACGGCGAGGACCGGAGTTGGTACACCCGGACCTTTGCCGATCGTCAACGGGCCGATCCAGCCCCGAAGTGACCGGAATCAGATGTATGTGAAATAAGAAGTTTTATTGTCAATACCTACCTAGCACTCGTGCCTCGCTGAACCTCCCCTCACATCATTTTATCCTGCCAAGATCGACACAATGGCTCGCGCACTTCCACCTCACACCTGGGAAAACGGGTTCAAGAAGCCCATTCAAGCATCTGCAACACCGTGGGTCTGGAAGAACGACGAACAGGATGATGATCCTCACTCATTCGTCACGCCGCCATCCAAGGAGCTTCTGACTTCCACGGCACACAACCGGGTCGGAATCAATGTCATTCGAACATGGCCCACTTTGTTTGACGGGACTAACAACCCCCATGGAACGCCTGACTGGTGGAAACCGTCAGACGAGGTCGATGTCCTCATTGTCGGCGGTAAGCCTTTCCACACCAACACCGTATCACAAAAACAGTTAACTAACAGCGACGAAGCTGGCCCCAGCGGATTAGAGGTGGCACTCAGTCTAGCAAGACAAGGAGTCTCGTTCCGCATCATCGGTTAGTCCTACATGGCGTGCTTGTGCATCAACTCTTTCTAACACCACCCCAGACAAAGCACCTACCCCCTTGATCGCCGGACGCGCCGATGGTGTCCAACCACGCTTTCTGGAGACAGTAGCTACTTGGGGGCTTGCCTCCGAGATTGCGGAAGAAGGACCACTGATTGAACGAACAGCCATCTATCTTGATGGCAAGAAGCTACTGTTCAACCGTTCTCATCAGTGTGATTCGCGCTATCGAGGATTGCATATCATCACGCAGGGTCAGATCGAACGAATCTTTATCCGGGACTTGGCCAGGCACAAGTCCTTGGTCGAGCGAGAACGAATCCTGTCCAAGTACACGGTAGAGGGCCAAGGTGAATATCCGGTCAGAGCTACGGTCAAGAATGAGCGGACAGGACAGGAGGACATTGTGCGCGCAAAATACTTGGTTGGAAGCGATGGTGCTGCGAGTTCCATCCGGAAAAGCTTGAGCATTCCGTTTGATGGTGTCAGCACAGATATTTACTGGGGTATTATGGACTGCGTTTTTGAAACTGACTACCCCCACGCCTGGGTATTCGGGTATGCCTTGTTGTTGGCTCCTAGTATGCGCATCGTGATGGGCGCTGACACCTCAGAAACAGGTCGGTAATCAGTTCCAAGCATGGAGGCTGTGTTATTATCCCAAGAGAAGATGGGTACATCAGGTACGCTCTTATGATTCAATCGAGGGAAAGTTAAGGTCTATGAGCTAACGCCTGGCCAAGATTGTACACCCAGCTGGATGTTTCGCAGACCGGGCCCATCGCAGCTGCAAGGCAGCAAAGTGACGCATCATTTGCAGAGGCTGGCGGACGCGTCGAGATTGAGACCGTCACCCCTGAAGAAGTTTTGGAACAAGCCAACAGAATTTTTGCCCCTTACAAGCTGAAGTTTGCAGCACCACTTAGTTGGTTTGCCATCTGGAAGAGTAGGTCTTGGTCTCAACTGCCCCTAGCTGTCTATCGGGACTGACAACACGAAAACTTTACAGTCTCTGAGCGAGTGGCTCGTTCTTATTCGTCCCATGACAACCGAGTCCACCTGGTCGGTGATGCAGCGTGAGTAATCTCTTACCAAGTGCCTACTACCTATCCATACAAAGATTGACCATGCAATAGTCACGTCCATAGCGTCATGGGTGCATTTGGGCTAAATGCATCCATTCTCGATGCAGCCAACCTCGCATGGAAGCTGGGTCTCGCCGCCAAAAACCTTGCTGATCCACAGGCTCTTCTTCCAACATACAGCCTGGAGCGAAGAGAGCACGCAGTTCGTGTAATTGAGGTTTCGGGAGCATACCTTCGCTTTGTCACTGGTTCAGCCATGCCTGTGCCCAACCTTCGCAATTTTGACGCGCTCGGATCAAGCTCCAAGGCAAACGGCCACCAAACCAACGGGCACACCAACGGGCACACCAACGGGCACACCAACGGAGTCAACGGCCACAGCAGTGACGCCAACGGCGACAGCAAGCAAGTCCACCTCCACGTCGAGTCTACTTCTGCGTCAGCAGATTCTCCTCCACGAACACAAGAAGATGCCTTGAACTTCCTCGCCAAGTTCTTCCAAGCTCATGGGCAGTTCCTCCTGGGTGTCGATTGCCCTTACGCAACATCTCCCATTGCTCCCCAAACCGCCCCCCTCCTCTCTTCACCGGCCCCGGTCAAGCTCAACAACGGCGTCAGGGCGCCCAACCCCCGTCTCTGTTTTTCTGATAACCAGACCGGGTATCTCTACGACCTGTTCGAGGGACCACCGAAATTCCACATCCTGGTCTTCGGTTCCTCATTTAGGGGAGAGCAGGTCCGCAACAACATAGCAAAGTTGTCATCTGTGCTGTCAAGCAAGACTGGTTTCTGGACTCGTTATGGTGGCCAAGACAGGTTTACCTTGACGGTGGTGGTGAAACGCATGCCATTTGAGGCAGGCGATGACGCTCTGCTTGATGATCTTACGCATAAGCTTGGAGCAAAGGTGGTGTTTGATGATAGGCAACCTGACGAAGATGCGCACACGACATATGGGGCTAACCATACCAAGGGGGGCGTGGTGGTCATCAGACCTGATCTGTGGGTTGGGGTGACTGCGTTTCCGCATGAGCCGGAGAAGATCGGGGGGTACTTTGATGGCTTTCTGGTCCCGGTATAAGGTATAGACATGTAGTTAGTCGTTATGATTTGTTGTGGAGTTATGGTTGGGAACCATGATACACTGGAGCCGGGCAGGTAGGTAGGCATTCAACACTGGCTTCGACGGGCATTTAAAGGCCTTCCAGGGCTTCAACACAGCAAAGGGAGCTCAGGGTATGTTTGGGTTAAAGCTTGAAAATAACTTCTTGGAAAATGTACTCTTTTTTGTCAGAAGCATCAACCGCTACCCGCGTGATCATGCAGACCAGTAAATTTGTGTTATCTTGTCCTTTGTGTTGGAGGTCTTCTTCTTACTCAAAGATACTCTGCTTGTATGCTGATGGATCAATATAGGCCGACCCGCCACGCTTGGTGAAACCCCATCTAATCTGACTGGCCATGGCGATCTCTGTGTCGACATGTTGGGCGAAAGTCCACGTCAGACCAGGGTCCTTTTGGAAACCGCGACCAACGAGCGCAACGTCAAGTCCATCCTCCTCTAAGAGCTTGTTTGCCTGTCTTCCATTGGTGATGGAGCCAACAGTGGCCACAAGCATCTTGTCGCCGACGGCCTTCTTGACGGCCACGGCAAATGGCGCCTGGAATGCGGGGCCTGATACAATCTTCTGAGCTGGGTGGACACCACCCGAAGAAATGTCGATCAAATCAACGCATCCCTGAGCAGCAAGGGCCTGGGCAAACTTGACCGTGTCCTCGGCTGTCCAGCTCTCCTCGGGCAAAGTCTCCTCGACCCAGTCGGTAGCAGAGACACGGAGGAGGACGGGTGTGTTCTCGCCCACTGCCTCTCTTGTGAGCTTGGCAATTTCCAGGCTGAGTCTGATGCGGTTCTCAAAGCTGCCGCCATATCCGTCGGTTCTTCTGTTCGCATGTGGGCTAAGGAAAGAGCTCAGCAAGTACCCGTGGGCGTTGTGGATCTCGACGAAATCCGCCCCGGCAGCCATGGCCCTCTTGACGGCAGCCACCCAGTTCTTCTTGAACTGCTCGATATCCCCCTTACTCATGGCCTTTGCCTGGCAGTAATGCTCGTTGAAGGCAACATCTGAGGGGCTGATGACGCCGTCTGGCCATCCTCCCACCTTGGCAGTCGCAACAACCCCCTGGTTCATGAGCCAAGGGGGAACTGTGGACGCCTTGCGGCCGGCGTGGGCAATCTGAACGCCAATCTTGATGTTTTGGCTGTGAACAAAATCGATGACGCGCTTCATGGGCCCAATCTGGGAGTCCTTCCACAAGCCAACATCCTGTGGGGTGATGCGGCCTTCGGGCGAGACCGAGGTGGCTTCGATCATCATCATGCCAGGGCCGCGTTGGGCGATGCCACCAAGATGAGCAATATGGTAGTCAGTCATGTGTCCATCTTGGGCCGAGTACTGGCATAATGGCGCAAGCTGGGGATGGTGTTAATCATAGGTGATAGAGATATCGACTGGATGCGGAAATACATACTCCCAAACGGTTCTGGAATGTTACTCCCCGGATGGTAAGGGGCTGGAAGAGCTTTGGGACAGGCTTGCCGCTTGTTTGAGGATCTTGGGCGGTTCCCGCTGGGGGGTTCTGAGCGGGGGTAAAGTATGAGAGCCCCGGTGCAGGCTCAACGACGATATCTAGGAGTGTCATGGTGCCAGTGTTGTTGGGATTTGTCTCAACTTAGTTAATTACAACATACTTCTTGACCATCAGCAAAGTCTTTTTATACCCAAACTTCAGACCGAAACTCGTCGAAAAGACCCACTTTGCTTTGAAATCGACCCTGAGCCAAGATTCACCACCCCGGTTTCGAAGAAGAGAAGAACTGGTGATGTTCCACTTCGTGGGCGCTAGCATGTGGAGCGGCCCGGCAGTATCCACTGCTCCGGGACTTTTTTATCCGCCATTGAGGTGGAATGATGTCATCTGTTTCAAGGAGATGCAATGGGATGCCCTGTGCCAACAGCAATGTCATCAATATTGTTAGCCATCTTTCAGGTCGGCCCATCCCGAACGCGTGAGACCATCACCGGATTGCCAAGACCCACGCGAAGTGGCGATGCGGGACCTCTCCAAAAAAATAGGTAGCGAAGACCAGGGGAAGAATTGAACGCAATGAATGTACCCTCAACCGGAGGAACGAAGACCCGATTCGAAATCATGAACAAACCTCATCATCCATGTTGTCTACGGGTGACTAACAGCTCTACCTACTACCTAAGGTACCTACCTACCTTACCTGCCCTTCTTGACCGGCTCCATTATTCAGTCCCATGATCGGGCCAAACTTTTGGACAAAGATCTCTGGTCGTTCCACAAACATAGCTTCAGTCATCATCTCCCCCTGAGCAATCGTTTCAGCACCACGCCCGAGCATGCCTTTCTCGTATTCTGCAACCGCTTCATTTAGTTCTTCGACCCCGTGCTGTACAATGCTGGTGGCTAACTCCAACGCGTCCGCCATTGCGAGATTGACCCCCTCTCCATTCGGGACGGTCACATGAGCAGCGTCGCCGCAGAGGGTTGCTCCTGAGACTGACTTCCAGCTCAGGTCCTCTTTCGACAATGTGTATAGCGACCAAGCCCAGAAGTCGGTTGCGTGGCGGATGAGGTCTTTGGTTCCCTCTGCCCAATCTCCATAATACTTGGAAGAAAGCAACATCTCGCGAATGGCTTCAACGTTTCGGAGGTCGAGCGTGCGGAAGAAATGCTCCGGAGTTTGGAATCCAAAATAGATGCGGTAGGAACCGTCGCCTTGCCTCTGTGTGATGGTGATCTTTTTGTCACCGATGGCCAGGTACATTCCGGGGCCAAATTCCCCATCCATGGTTTTGTAGAGTGGGTTGTCACGGCGGATCCTTCCTTCGAGATAGGCTTTTCCAGCGAACTGGGGTGTAGCTTTCGTGATCTAGGCGACGAAGGTAAGGTAGTCAGTGTCGTATATAGGTACTAGATAGGAGACTGGGATTTCTTACCACCCGCCGCACCTTGCTCCATGCCCCATCGGCTCCAACAACAAGCCTGACCCCAGACAAAACTGTCCCATTTTCAAAGCGTAACCGAGGCCTTCCATCATCTCCAAACGTCACTTCTTTCAAAATATGCCCCCACCTGATCTTGCCCTCGGGCACAGCATCGAGCAGAATTTTGCGGAGTTCGGCGCGGTCGATCTCAGGGGCGTCACGTCCTTCGCCCATTTGGAATATCCTGTTGCCATTTTTGTCGCCCAGTGCAAAGGCAGTGTCGGCATACCTCGCACACTCCTTGAACTTGTCGAATAAACCGGCTTCTCGAAGGGCGCGTTGGCCTGTTTCGGGATGAATGTCTAGGCTGCCCCCCGCACGATTGGAGTTAGGGCTGTCATCTCGCTCGTAGACGATGTAGTTTGCGATTCCTTTGCGCTCGAGAAGCTGCGCGAGCGTGAGCCCGCATGGGCCGGCGCCAATTATGGCAATATGTGGGGTAGACATCGAGAACGCGATGGTATCGAGCACAGGATGGGACATCTGAAAGCCGCTGTGCACCACCACCTTTATACACGGACTTCCCTCGGCCCTCGGTGTTGACAGCAGGCCCGAGACCCTGCATGTCAACACTCATCGGTTAGGTACCTTAGCAATGTTAGTCGGTTGACTGGAGAGTAATATTTCCGTCGGGGTACGGAAATTGACGCGTCACCTCTACTCAATACTACACAAACGTCCTCACATCGCTAGAATATCCGCTTACAGACGCGTGTAGGTACTCAAGAGTCGCAATGCAGTGGCACGGGCTTCTCGCACCCAATAGTTCGCCTACACGTTGTACCAGTTGGACCTGAAACCATGTGCAGTCTTACATACAGGGTCATACTCGTCCGACATTGAATATGAGGTGCCTATGTATATGAAATTGCCACCCTTGATGTCTACTCCCTTCTTTTCCCTCTGGCAAGCCACTTTCTTCAACAATCATTCTCAAAATCTGTTCCCGGTACCAGCTGGTAGGAGGTAATCAAGATCGACCTTCCAACAAAGCACATGCGCCCCCCAGCTTCTCTGATACTTCAGCAATCTACTCAGATCGTCAGCATCTCTTCACTTGACAAAGAACGAAGTATTGTTGACAATCACTCACATTTCCATCCTCAAAAACCTCAAAGTGATTACAGTCCAGGTCCAAAACCAACAATCTTCTCCCGACGACCGTCTCCCACCTCTCGACCGCCTTGGACCGGTACTCACCATCACTCAACCAGGGATACGTTACCCCGCATGCCCGCTCGGTGTTCATGGTCTTGGTGCAGAAGAGCATGGCGCAGGGCACGCCTCCGCCCTTGATGTCTTCAAGTTGCCGCCGACTGTACCGTTCCAACATGCCGGCATGGCGTGAGAACTGCGCTTGGATCTGCTTTCGCAGGGGAGAGTCTCGTCCTTTGCTGCCTACAACGTGCAAAATGACTTGTTGAGGAAGAGGGTCATGATTGATCGGCAGGGGGGAGTCGATCAGGATGACACCTTTGACGGTGACGTTGGGGTGGTGGGCGCGAAGTTGTCGGGAGACTTCGAAGGCGAGCACACCGCCAAAGGACCAGCCTATTTTTAACGGGTTAGAAACCTGTCACGAACGGGGCGGCTTTTCGGGGAAACTTACCACCGAGGAGAATCTCGGGCTGCTTTGACAGCTTTGCCTTGTCTATGTAGAGCGCTGCGAGCTCTTGTATTGTCTTTGCCTGTTTCTCTGCGGGATGTGAGCCGTCGATACTGTAAATCCCGTAGATGTTGCGGTTCAGATTGTCGAGGTGGCGGTACATGCTACTCAACCCGCTGCCATCATGGAACAGGTACAACGGGGCTTTGGGAGAATCCGACTGTTGTGTCTGCAGTTGAGTGGGGAAGTCACTGTCATTGCCCGACTCCAAACCACGTTGGGAAGCATGGGGGGGTGGGGTGGTCCCGGTGGTGTGCCGGATACCCAATCCCTGAAGCTGCCCCTGGCTACGATGAGATGCAAGCTTCTTGGCATACAGCACCTCCAAGTCGACAACTCTCAGCTCGGATATGCCTTCATGGCCGTTGTCGATGGTAAGACCAAGACGGGATTGCAGTTCCTCTTGCAGCTCAATAGAGAGCAACGAGTCAATCCCGAGAGTAGACAGTGGGGCTGTCTTGTCCACCCCCGCGATATCCAGTCCGCAGATATCTTCCAAGAGATCTTTGATGCTGGTCTCTTCGCCGTCAGGAGGTGTGACAGGCGTAGAGATGGAATTCGTGGAGGCGTCAGAGAAGGTCGCCCTGCCATCTTCGGACACGGAGGGCGAGGAGTGCGTCGTCGTGACACCGGAGGCAGAAGCCTTCTTGATGACGTTCATCAGATCTCCGACTGCATTGCAAGCCTCGAGTTCATGTGTTGAAATTTGGAGAGAGGGAAGCTGACGCCTGATGGCGTCGGCCAGCTCGATGAACAGGAGACTGTCAACGCCCATCTCCGAAAGAGTAGTACTCATCCGGGTGTCATCGCCAGCCCCACAGACTTCTTTGATCATTGCCATAACGGTCTGTTCAATGTGGGGCGACTGCCGTGTCTGCTCAACTCGTGCAGCATGCTCCTGCTTCTGACCAGGAGCTCTCTTGGCCGGAACTGGAGCAGCTACCCGCTTGGACGTTGCAGGAGCAGACTTGCCTGCCGCCCTCGCCAGGCTTGCTTTGAACCCAGCCTTGTTGATCTTTCGGAACGACATGCCCTCCACGCAACTCACCACCTTGCCATCTTCTGTCATCACGTAGGCATCTGCCACAATGGCATCATCCAAGTCCACAAGACTGCAGTAAATGTCCAGGTCCCGCTCGTACACATCATTGCTGTCTTCTGGTAAGATGGCCAGGTCAACCTTTGTGCAGATGCATGCCGTTTGGTCATTGACCTTGATGTTGGCGATAAACCCAGCGGCGTGGAGCATGGTATCGATGAAGGCGGGCGCACAGACAAAGCTGCCCTGGAGTGATAGGCCACTCACGCGGAACTGCCCAAAGCCTTCCAAACCCGTAGAGCTCACCGTAAGGCGGTCCAAAGTGAGGAAAGGGTCTGAATAGGCGACGACACGCGGGAAGATGAGCTCGTAGATGGTACGCGAGGAAAAGGAGTTAGCATTCTCTCGGCCGCCAAACTCGAACGAAGTCATTTTCTGACGTCTCACAAAAGCTTCCTTGCGTGAGAAGATGGTCGAAACAAACTTGGTCGAAGCTTGCCGAAGGGTGCCAGAGCAGTGAACATGGTTTGCTCCGCTCATGAAACTGAAAATCTGTCCCTCTTGCTGAGAGCGATCTAGCTGTAGCTGCAGGTCCGAAGGTGGCGAGTTGTCGTCGTATACAAGAGGCTTGTCGAAAGTGATATCCTCCATAGCTATGGTTGCTTTGGCAAGGGAATCGTCCGTCACCACAGCACCCTCTAGCGCATACTCCATGAAGACCGAGGCGGGACACAGAGGAGTGTTTCCTACTGCGTGGGCCTTGATGAATGGCGCCAATTGCTTGACTGGGGTTGAAAACGACGTGATTTCTGGCTTGTCTGGGGGCGATGACCCCCTAGAAGTGAGAAACTCGAACAAGGGCTCTGGCGAAGCCGGGAGAGAGCCCTCCAGCTCGACTTCATTCTTAAGCTCTTGAAACGGAATGAGAAACTCGGCGCCATAGAGCGGATACTGTGGGAAGGGGTACAACATCCTGCTAGAAGTGTCGTATACCTCTCTCCATTTGACAGGCACACCGTGGAGAAAGAGCGTTCGCAACATGGTGCACAGTGCCACCCATGGCTTATCCTTTGGACGCAGAGAAGGAAGGAGAAGGGACGTGCTTGGGTCGAAGGCTGCCTTCACCATGGGGAGCGTGATGGGAGATGACCCGGCTTCAAGGACCGTCACGTTGTTACCGTTCAGCTTTGTCGCCAGTTTCTGTGCGACCTGAGAGAACTGCACTGTACCCCTGGTCTGCTTGGCAAAATAGGCAGATGTGATCTGCTCCCCTGCCTCCAAGAGTCTGCCATAAGTGCTCAAGCCAACGTCGACGGCACCTTCTGCTCTCAGACAGGGGCGTAGAGTCGCGGCATGTGCTTCAATCTCCTCCAAAATGGGGTCCATGGCAGGAGAATGAAAGCCGTAGGCCACTTCGAGCAACTTATTCTTGATTTTGTTGGCCCTTGCAAACTCACCGAATCTGGTGAGTTCATCGAGAGACCCAGCAACCACAGAATCTTTTGGGCTGTTCTCGCAGGCGACACTAAGAGCTGGAAACCCGTGTTGTGAGAGGAGACACTCTATCTCACGCGCCGGCAATGCGCAGGCCATCATCCCGGACGAAGCAGCTGGGCATTTGGCTGTCATCAAACTGGCGCGCTTGGCAACAAACAAAAGGCCATCCTCCAGAGTCAGGGCGCCCGCTGTCACGAGAGCAGCGTATTCTCCGATGCTGTGCCCAACGACAGCATCCGGCTTGAGGCCCCAGTGAATGAACATCTGAGCCAGCGCGTACTCGATAACAAAACAGGCGCTTTGTTCCACCACAGGTTTGGGTTCTGCTCTCCAGCTCTCCGAGTCCAAGAGGTACGACGAGACAGCAGGGAAACCATTTGCGGTAAGAATTCCATCACACCTCTCCACTGCAGATCGGAATCGTGGCGAAGTCAGCAGAAGCTCACCACCCATGCCGGCGTAGATGCCACCCTGACCAGAAAACACAAACAACGTCTTTCGGTGACCGGCAACCTTGAGATTGGCGACCTGGGTGACCGCTTCCTGTCTCAGCTGCGACTCGAGCTGCTGCACGTTGGAGCCAAGGACGGAGATTCTGTGGGCGTATCCTTCATTTCTCTTCCGTGCGGTGGCTGTGTAGCACAGATCCTCTATCTTAACATTGGGGTATGTCTTGATGTAGCTGATGTACTCTTCTCTGAGATGTTCCAGTGCAGCCGGAGTTTTGGCCGAGATGTTGAGGATATGAGACGATCTAGACACCTTCTCGGCTTTATTCCGACCGGCCTTCACCGGCTTCTGGGTGTTGCCGGTGTATTCCTCAAGTACCAGCGCGGCATTGGAGCCTGCAGCACCAAAGTTGTTGAGGAGTGCCCGTCTTGGGGTCTTGTCTCTCGTGGTCCAATCGGTCAGAACGGTGGGGATGACAATGTTGTGCTCCCGGATGCTCTTAAGCCGAGGGTTGAGTGTCTTGAAAGATGCCTGTGGTGGCAGCTTCTTCTCCCTCATGGCAAGCAGCAACTTGGTCAGACCAGCAAGTCCTGATGCCGCTTCCGCATGACCAATATTTCCCTTCACACTCGAGATGTATAGGGGGTTATCAGGAGCTCTCATGCCAAAGGTGGACTGTAGACTCGTAATCTCGGCAAAGTCCCCTGCTTGTGTTCCGGTGCCATGAGTCTCTACCAGTGAGATGCTGTCTGGGTCGATGTGGTTGCGAGAGAGGACTTCGTTGAACAGCTCGGC